TCTTACCCTGCTAACACTGTCCTTGCTTCAACATTTTGATTGTTTTGCCTTTCCTACCTCCCTCTCCCCATGACCATAGTAATTATTCATAAAATATCTGACAGAAATGACTAATCCTGTGTAATTATCAAGCCAATGACAGTTTATCCAGTGGTATCTACATTCATCTGTTTTTTTTTTTAAAGATTTTATTGGGGAATTGGGGGAGGGAAACAGCATTGAGGAACCGGGAAAGGGGGACAGACAAGTTGCCGTCCTTTTTGTTCTTCAGTCTAGTTGTGGAGGACGTCGCTTCACTGGCCCATGTTGGCATTGTGATCATTGCGCTCTTCCCGGGTGAGGCAGTTGCTCGCTGGCCACTGGACAGCCACTCACGGCAGCTCACGCAGCTGCCAGCCAGCCTCACTGCAGCCTATGCCTCGCCAGTGACTCATGGCAGCCCAGCTCCAGGTCAAGCTGTTGTTCACTATCTTAGATGTAGAGGGCGCAGCGTCACTGGCCTGCATGTGGGATTCAAACCGGGGCCCTGCTGCTCAGAGCTGTCGTCCCAAGCCAACTCTTAACCAACGTGCCTCTCAGCCAGCCCCATGCACCTGCTTTTTATGGAGTACTTTCACCAGGACTAAGGAATAATTACCAAATTGCCCTGTACCAAAATCAGTGTAGTTTTTTTTTTGTTTTTTTTAATCATAATGCTTAATGTAGTGTTGTTAGGTGTGAATCAAAATAAGCTGTCTGGGACTAATCTGATTAGTGTATAGATTATTAGGAGAGTAGGAAATGGAAAAAAAATCATGAAGAATGTATTTTTTGACTGGGGTGTGGACTTGTAACAATTGCCAGGGCTAGAGATATAATTTCATCCCAGCTCACTGTCAAAACAACAGGGTTTTTTTGTTGTTGTTTTGCCTTCGGTTTTAATTTTTTTTCAGGCGTACTGTAGAGGTGGAATTTGTCACTAGCTGACTGTCAGTAATTCTAGATCAATGTCAATGTCCTAGATCCTGTCAATGATCCTAGAATCAGCCTTAAAGGAAAGCCCTCCTTGTCCAATTAAAAATTTTAAGTTACTTTTATAAAAGTGCCAATACGCTGAAGGGAAGAAGTGAAGATGGATGAAAGAATTAAAAAGAGGTGGTGAGGGCTGTCAGAGTTGGCTTGGGATGCCAGCTCTGAGCAGCAGAGCCCCGGTTCGGATCCCACATTAGAGCCAGTGATGCTGCGCCCTCTACACCTAAGATGGTGAACAACAGCTTGACCTGGAGCTGGGCTGCCGTGAGTCGCCGGCGATGGTGTAGGCTGCAATGAAGCTGCAGTGGGCTGCCATTAGCTACTGTGAGTGGCTGGCAGCCAGCGTGAGCGGCTGGCAGTCAGCGTGAGCTGCCAAGAGCTGCCGTGAGTGGCTATCCAGTGGCCGGTGACCGATCTGCCTCAACCCTGGAAGAGCACAATGATAATACCAACATGAGCCCATGAAGCAATGTCCTCCACAACTAGACTGAAGAGCAAAAGGACAGCAACTTGTCTGTTCCCCTTCCTCGATTCCCCAGTGTTGTTCCCCTCCCCCAATTCCCCAATAAAATCTTAAAAAAGAATAAAAATTTAAAAAAAGTGGCGAGGGAGGGAGTAATCACGATAGATAGAGTAATCATAATCTTTCTTGTTATGTCATTCTGTTGTGGAGAGTGGGGAAAAGCTTTCATGATGAATCCCCTCCAAGTATATATGCCAGTTCACACACACACACACACACACACACACACACACACACACACACCAGGAAAACTTGCATTTCACAGTTAAAAATTAGACCCGTAACAGGAGTAAGAAGGCCCAGTTAGACTGATTCCACTGATAGATGGTACAGTGATTGCCTGGATGAAACCAGGTGTCTTCTTGGATTGGTTGGATTCCAGGACAGAAGAACAGCTAGAACATGCACATAGCCTGTGGGAATACAGGCACTATGTCTTAGTGTCACCGGAGGCTCACAGGTAATGTCCAAGAGGGGACTCAACTGGGAGCAGCGGTGGTGACCAGGTTATTGTCTCAGCACCAGGAAGAATTCAAGAGCTAGACAGATGCAAAAAAAGCACAGGAAGTTTGTTGAAACAAAGTACACACATGAGAGGGAAGTGTGAGTGAATTCAGAGAGGAAGTCCTGACGAGGGGTATGTATACCTCCCTGAGGCTGAAATCCATGATGTCCCATTAATGTGGCTCATCAGTTTCCTCCCAGTAAGTGGGATTCTCACTTTCCGCTTTTTCTTCCTTATTTGGTTCTTCTGGAACTATCATGGCGTCAGGTACATGATGGGAGTCATAGTAACCACAATGTAAATGAGATTATAATGATTTTGATTAGCTAAAAGTCAGGTCCCGGTCATAGGGATTAGGTGAGCTGGATGAGACTGGTTCTTGTTTTTCTCCAGTTGCAGGTGCTGGATACAGTCACTTGTTACTTGTGCAACCAGTGAGGTGCCTGGTTGTATCCCGGAGGGGTTTTTCAATTTCCTAGGCTACCTATACTGCCTCATTAGAGATCCTGGAGGTGCTGGGGTTTTGTGACCCAGTGTGATCCCATAAGACCTGTCGTCCCCACATTGGTTGGCAGGCTCTGTCTTAGCTACTGTGTGGCATGCAGGTCTTAGCTTTGAGTCAGGAAGAGGCTAATGGCCACCTGCTTGGAGGTGGGACAGGTATCTTTTTTATAAAATGAAGCAGGGTTTCTTGGGGACCTTCTGTATTTTTTCTCGTATTCACACAAAATTCTGGAACACTGTGCTCTGCAGTCCTGTAAAGAAAGATCCAATTGTAATTGGAAAATGCAGAAAGGCAGAATTAAGGTTAACTCTGCATTTCCTGCTTCTTATGCAATTAAATTACCCCCCTTGCCATTGAGTTAATGTAATTTTCCCCCCACATAATGGAGCATAAATTATGGACAAATATGGGATAAGTTGATATGGGCTGCAAAGAGATAATGAAGTGAAATTAGTAAGAAATTATATTTATAGTAATTTGATTTTTAAGAAGCAAGAATACTGCTATTTAGCCAATGAAATATCTGCAAAGTAATCTATTAATATATCAGATTGTGATAAATTAATTTCTAATTCAACATTTTTACAAAACAATAATTAAAATGATGACTTTGAGAACCTCAAACAAAAGTAATTCTTCACATTCTAAATATTGCTCTTGTTTCCTTTGGTATTTTTTCCCCGTATATTGTATCCACTACAGGTGCAAGAAAGAACTGAAGATGTGAGGCATTATTCTATTTTGGGTTGTCCCCTTGGGTTTTGACTGCATGATCGATGTTTTACATATTAGTTTTGGTTTTCTTTGTATCATTTATTTCGGGTGAAGCAGCAATAGACAAGTAAAGCCTTAGAAGGAGAACAGAGGTTGCAAGAAATAAATTTGTCATTAGTGCCCTTCATGGAGAGACTTTGCCTCTGGAAGAAATGGACCCAACCACCCATAAACTCATAGAAAGGGGTGGCTGGCTTTGCCAGTGTAGCGATGGCTATGCTTCGTGCGATGATAGAAAAAGAGCATCTTGTCATACAAATTGTTTGCAGACTTCCATTCCTCTGGAATTCCATCTGTTTGTAATCCGAAGGTCTGTGCTGCTGCTTCCATCTCACACTCTGAGTTAAATGGATCTCATAAGAGCCCTGCACTGACCCTGGATCTGCAGGCTTGGTTCTGGGGCCAGGGAGGGGGTGTGGCTTCTACCTAGAGGGATGCTCATTGGGCAGTGTCGTAGTTGGTCGTCTGAGCTTACACACATGTGCCCTCTGGAAAGGACCTGTTTTAAAAGAGTTTCAATTTATTGAAAGAAAAACTTCAAGCGTAGATCCCAAGAAAGTTAAATATTGTTCATGTTTGCTTCAAGTTCTGTATTTTTCCAAAATATATCTTATCAAGCCTTCAGATGATGGAGGGTTAACACTAATGTAGCAAATAAAAATGCACAACACCCAGTTAAAGTTGGATTTCAGATAAACAACAAATAATTTTTTAGTGTAAGTATGCCCCCAATTTAACTGGGTATCCTGTATTTTATTTGACAAACCTAGCTGAGACCAAATCAAGATTCCTGAATTAGATGGACTAAAAAGATTGCTCACAATATTCAAGGTGCAAATTAAATATAAGGATGATTTTGAAAATTCGTATGTGAATTCTTTTTTTTGGCCTGATGGTATTGTGGTTATGTCTTATCTTTTAGAGATATTTGCTGAAACATTGATTGATGTAATTATGTAATATTTGGGGTTCACGTCTAAATAATACAGGAGACAGATAAGTGAATGGGGCAGATTGGCTGTGGGTTGATGGGCACATGAAGGCTAATTATACTCTTTTGTCTACATTTGAATGTGTTTGAAATTTTCTATAGTAAAGGAAACAGTGGGTGTGTGTGTTAAGTCGTGCCTTTTGGTTTAAAAAAATCTATTATTGAAACATCCTAAATGCCAAACAAATGAGGATTTGCACAGTGGCGCTAGAAGAGGCTGCAGATGGAGGCAGGGACCATGAACCATTTCGGAATTGTGATGTCTTTATTCCTCCACTGGGATGTTAATTGTCTAGTTAGTCACTAGCCTCGGAGAATTGAGATTTTTCAGTATGTGACAAGATCTCTAGGGAAGCTCATGAAGAGAACTTGGTTAAGTACAGCGGGGCTGTGCTCTATGCTTTTCGAACATAGTTAAACACGAAATGAAATAAACTGTGGGTTAGGTCAAAGTAACAAACATTACATTTTTCAATTTGTTTGTAGTTTTTACCAAAAAAAATCTCTTTAACTGATTGGATTAAAGCCCTGGTAAATTAATAAATTGGGTACATAGTCTAATAATTCAGCATAGGCCTAGCTTCTCTAGCAGGTGAGCTGTCAGCAGCTGGGAATCCTCAGTCTCTGGCACGACTCCTGGCAGTTATTCATTGAAGGACATCTTTAATGGTTTGCTTTTTTCTTATTCCAGGATTTCCTTCAAATGCTGTTGGAGAACATCCCAGAAGAAAAAAGGTGAGGACCAATTTAGGAATTAAGAGCCCAGTTGTACTTTCAATGTTAAAAAATGACCCTGCCGTTGTTGAGCTTGTTGCAGCTGAGCAAGTTCAATCCTCCTCTCTTCATAGAGGCAGGGACCTGGCCCCGCCAGCAGGAGGCCTGGGACGATCAACCACATTTAGCGCTGGGCCCACACAGATAGTAGGAGCCAGCCGGCTCAGTGGGGAGCCCGAGTCAGGAACCCCCGAAGTGGTATAGGAGGCAAGCCAAGGACACCGCGGCCTCAGCTGCAGTGAAAAGGAATGGAGGAATGGAAAATTCTAACAGTTAGGGTGGCTGTAGTTAACGTGGCTTAAAATGAGGAAACACTTTAATTGAAGGTAAAAATGTCGTGTACTGTAGGATTGGAAGTCAGGCTCTTTCGAGGTTGTAATCCCAGCTCTGCCCCTTCCCAATGATAACATTTGGAGCAGGTCACTTCATCCCTCCCAGTTTCTGTTTTCCACCCTCTCTGGCAGGGTTTCACAGAGTATCGAAGGGGATAACATATATGAAAAGCTGGTTCTCAATTAATGAGTGATATTGTTATAACCATAATCGTCTTCTGTGCATCAGGCACCCATCCAGGATCTGCATAGAGTAGATCATTGGATCCTTACAGCACTGTCCTCCATCACCATCTTCATCACCATCACCTTCACCATCATCATTATGGTGGTTATTATTAGCCCATACTCCTGGGAGGCCTCAGTTAATCCTCCAGACAACACTGCCTGGCGCTTTGTGTTTCCGTCTTACAACAGGAGGACTGAGGTACTGCAGGGCTGGGTAAGCAGCCAGGGATCTCACAGCTGTACGTTGCAGGGCTGAGATTTGCTCCCTGGCAGCCTGGCTCTGGAACCTCTGCTCTGAGGCTCCCAGAGGTTAAGTAACTTTCCAAGATCCCTTAGTTGCAAGGGAGCTAGCGTAGACTGGGTGAGGTCTGTCAGGCTCTCACCCACACTCTCTGCAGTACAAGTAACTGCCCCGGAAAAGAAGGATGCCCTCTCCCTTGGAGGAGGAGGTGTCCCATTTTAGTCTGGCTGACCACCTCCAGGCGTCCATGGAGGAGCTTCAAGACCGACATCAACATTTAGCTTAGATTCATTCCAACCCTTTCCTTCTCATTGCCCACCTTAATTTAGGCACTAAAAGTGAACACCCTGAAACATAACTTCTAATAGCAAAGTTGGTATTCAGACATTAAAGGGGGGCATCTTGAGAAATTAAACATTTCTTTGAAGAAGAGCCAACATTACTCTCCTTTCTGACCTACATACAGTTTTAGCCATATTTTTATGCTCGGAACAGATTTTCAAATGTGGAAATGAATTGTTTCACAGACATCAACTTAGATCCATACAAGGCTAGACACCCCCATGTCGACGAGCCTGTCTTATAGGCAGCCTAATTAGGGGGCCTTAAAGGTAAGGTGTCAGGCCTTATGTGATGACCAGGAGGTGACCTGAAGTTCAGGAAAGGATCCAGGGACTGTGAGGATTTGGAGATTTTTTTTTCCTAAGCATTAGATTTTTGTTTGGCCTTTTTTGTTTAAACTCCCCATCTTCTATCTTTGGCCGCCAATTCTTGCTTCATCAGGTAGAAGCGTTTTTGTTAGGCTTTTATAAAAAATCAGATGGGAGCACACACACATAAAGCAAACCAGTGCATCATACAGAATTAACATAGCCATGTGATTTGATAAACTCCTGGATTTCTATATCGTCCTGTTCAGCATTTTGATGCTGAAGGGAAGCCTTATCCAGGGAGCTTGCACGGGGCTGTAGTCATTGGCCAAGAAAAACAGCTTTGTCAGGAGGCTGCTCGAAGGAAGTGTGTGGCCTGTTTTGGAAGGTCTGAAATGTTTCAGATTTATCATCTTTTCTTCTTAAGCAGAAATACGGGTTTTCTTAATGCAAAAATCACATCAGATGTGGTCATTATTCCTAAGGTCAAGAATAATAGTTTGCTCGCTTGCAAGGTTGCTTTTTTTCCCTTTTCTTTTGTACCTACCCTGGAATAACTTTTCAGGTCTACTGATAGAATGGAGTGGTTTCCTTAGGAACTGATGCAGGGGAGAACAAAAGGAAAAAGAAAAGAAAATTAATAGAAATGGCATATTACCTCCTATTACTGAAGTCTGTTTCTGAGTAATAACCATGCAGTCTTTCAGAATAACTTCTTAGGGCACAAATATAGTAATTTTCATGGAAGCAACAAAGTGCATTTTTAGTTTGGGAAGTCTTCTTTCTTTTTACCCTCTTCCTAATAAGGTTATGGAGTTCATTTGATGGCCCTGAGCCCTCTGGCTCTAGGGGACCTGGATTTTATCATTGTGAATATCTGTTGAGGTGACATGTTGTGGGCCCACAAAGAGACTTTTGTTGTGATTTTGGAAGTTAAGAGCAGCATCTCTGTTTAATGGTGGCCCACGATCACCAACCTTCCCCTTTGAGAGGATGAATACCTCTCCCAGTTAGGATCATGTTTTGGCTATAGCAGGTTTAAACTTCTTTTTAAAATTCACCTTAAAAGTTAAGGCAATTTTATTCCCACAGTAAGCCTATTTCAGCAAGTATACTGGAATACTTTCTGAAACTCAAACATCTTCTTTCCTGCTAACTAATCTCAGACTCTAATTCAGCTATTGAAACAGGCTGTTTACCCTGTTACCTATGCAGCATATTGTACCAATTTCATCTAGGTCTCCAAGGGCCCCACACCTATCCCCGGAGCCTCTAATCTTTGGCCCTGTTGCAAAACGATCCTCAGGCACATCTGTTAGGCACGTGGGCCGCTCTGAAGAGGGCGAGGTTTTTCAGAAGAGGCCAGCCAGTCAGTGCTCGGGGCCGGTGCCCTCCGTGTCATACTGCCTCTGTGTCGTTCTCTTGCTTCGATGAATTTAACGTTTTCTGTTGAGCACCTCCCATACCAGGCTTTAGGCTGGACACTAGGGAATAGAAAGGCATAAATTCTATGCCTAGCCCCCGGGGGTCTTTTCATCTACTGCTGAGACATCTGTGAACAGATCGTTAGGACTCAGTGTAGGAAGCGCACTGGGAGCTTCGCAGGCCTGGGAGCACAGAGAAAGGTCTCTGCGGTCCTAACCTCCAGCCTTTAGGCAGAGGTACCACTGGAGGTTTAAGTAGAGGAGTGCCATCTTCAGATTGGAAAATGCTCAGGGGGGCAGTGTGGAAGACAGGTGGGGGCGGGGAGAACTAGAGGTCAAGAGATCAATTGGAAACCAGTACAGCAGTTCACCCAAAAGACCTCGAGATGGAACCAAGGCAGGGATGGTGGCGGCGGCGGTGGGGTTTGAGCGTAATGAGCAGATCTGAGAGATGTTGCGGAGGTGCTGCAGGTGAGACTTGGGTGACGGGCTGTGCACGCTGAATGGAGGAGTCCAGCATGAGACTGGCCTTTCCCTCTCGGCCACTCAGTCACATCGGAAGTTGAGCTGGACGTCTGGGGGCAGCTGTTTTGTCTCGGGAATAGGTGTGGCACAGAGGCAGTGGGAGGAAAAGCATTTGAAAGTGGAGGCAGGGAGGTGAGGAGTTGTGTTTTCGACATCTTCAGTGAGAGGTTTCTGTTTAAAAGCTGATGTTCTATGAGACCACGGGAAGGAAAAGCTAGAAGTGCTTAGAAGGAAATCCAGTCAAACCCTGGGTGCCGGCCTGCCCTAGCAAGGGGGGGCCTTAGGGAGTCCCTTATCCAATGCACCCTGCCACCTGATACTGCAGCTGTATCGACAGCTGCCGGTTCTTTCTTGGCTCGTCAGTTATTGTATTTGTGTGTCCATGTTCATGTGTTGGTTTTAATTCAATACTTTTCCTCCCCTGTGGAACTTGGGAGGAAATGTTATATATGTTATAAATGTTAACCTCAGCAGCCTTCATCACCTACCCAAGCACAAACAACTTGTTTGATTAGGAAAATAAATAACTATGTGCAAAGCTTTGCAATGTACACGATATGTGTCCACATGTAGAGAGGACACTTAAAAACATCAATTCCTGAAATTTAAAACCCACCCAGAAGGTACGCTGCATTCCAGAATAAGAGCATTTTCATTTCAGACCGAGCCCTGAAGTTCCCAGAGCTTGCCTCCTAGTTCCTGCACTCCCAGGGTTCTTTCCATTTGTCCTTAAGTTCATGTGCAAGTTGCTGGGCCGTGTGCTTTCCTTCAGAAGCACAGAGAGAACGCGATCTTTAGAATTTCAAGAGGCTGAAGATGGGACTCAAGCGTGATAAAGACATTTCTCCTGATCAGCAACAAGTCGATAGGCACAAGTAGCAGATATGGCTGGTACTCACCTCCCCATCCTCGTCAGTCCACCCTCAGAAATCCACTGAATGAGCCATGCGGCGTGTGCCCTGCCATTTCCATGCAAGCCTGAGCTACTTCTGCGAACTTTAACATCAAGAAGAGACGAGCAGCTGGTCACTTTCTTGGCTTCTAAGCAGCATCAAGCCCAGGCATCCAGCATATTCTTTCTCCTGCTGCATTAACGATATGTGACTGCATTTATAGCTCACAGGGCCTGGAGATGGACCTCTGAAACACAGAGCTGTCCTACAGGACATAGGAGTTCAGCAAGGGACCTCCCTAGCCTGAGGGTTGACCCACCTGCTGCTCGGAAGACCCCAGAGGCTTCAGTCAGGAGCTGGAAGTGCCGCCCACAGGCACAGGTCCTGAGGGCGTGTAGCCGGGTCTGGGTACTGTTAGCTGTCTGTAGAAAATCAATTTCCATAGTGATCAGACATGCAGAAGAGTAATTTCCTGTAAGTCCTGGGTCCCAGGGAGGTGGAAGTGTATCTGCTTGTCTGTTGTGATGATTTAAGCCACATAACCTGGGGGGAGAGCAGTCATCGTTGGCTTAGACTCTGCATGTCTTGTAGAAAGTCAGCTTTCGGCTTGACCACTGTTGCACATTCACACCCAGACCTAAAAATTCCCCTGCACTATCATCTCAATAGTTATGATCAAAAAGCAAAAGCTATGTACACACTATCTTTTTCCCCTAAAACATACAGTCCATTTCTTCCCTGAAAATTAAACATTTTCACACGGTCTCCCATAATTTCCTTGGGAGGTAAGGCCACTTAGAGGATCCTAGAACCATTTTTTAGCAGCTGGAGTTAATACTTTCATCTCCCTCTCAGAGTGTACCACCTACTCCACGCTAGCGATCTGCAGACAGGCATAGGTGCTGTTGATGACGGCACTGATACTGGGTGTCTAGAAGCCCCATCTTGTCTTGAGCCCTTTGTCTGGGTTGACGTTGACCAGTTTTCTTATGCTGCAGTTTCTGCATCTGCTAAAAAGCCGCACAATTGACACCCACTTCACAAGGATATTACGAAGAATGAAGTGATAATGGTTATAAGATGCTTTGAACCTTTCCAAAGGAAAGTGATCTGAAAACACATGTTCTCTTCCCTCAAGGGGGAGTGTCTTTTGCTCCTGGATGCAGCTGACCGATGAACTCTCCTGCCCTCACTTTTTCGCCCCTCCCAAGGGTCTCCCCATCTCTTCAGAACTCGAATCCAAGGGCAGACAAACAGGGCAACCACAACAGGGGCCAGACCATTTTCAGCAAGAGAGGTGTGAATAAGAAGGAGGGGTCAGTGTTGTTTGGAGCAGGCTCGTCTGCACCATAAATCACAAAGTGATGTATCGGGATGCCTGAGTTCAGCATAGAAAGCAAAGTGGGGCTCTGCTGCTAGACAGCGTAGGTTTGAATCCCTACTCTTCAAATAGCCACTGTGTGGCCTTGAATAAGTCCCTTAACCTCTAGGAACCTTTATTTGCTCATGACTAAAATGGGGATAATAATACTGGTCTTGCACAGATACTGTAAAGTTTAAATGAGATTTTGTTTGTAGTGTATGGTACATAGTAGGTGTTCAGTAAGGAATAGCTACTCCTTTTATACCTTTACATGGCAGTGAATAGAGGCATTTTGTTTTGGTTTTGGTGCCACTGTATAATAGTATCTGTGTGCGCAAATACTAAATATGGCAAAGCAAAATTTGTCTTAATACTTCCCAGTGAAATAAGCCTCACAGTTGGCGTGGCCGGTTGTCCAGGTTGTAGACTGCAGCATGGATTGTATGTGGGCTTATACATTCTATGGAAAGTCATCCTGCAGAGAGCGATGGGGCACTTGTCCTCACACCATCTCTCACCCCTCCAACAGGACTCGTCCAGCACTGCCCTCCACTTTCATCCCCTGCGTCCCACCTCCATTTAGGCCTCCTCTCGTCACCTATCGTTTGAGCACATTCACAGCCTCCCTTTTGGTCTCCCTGCCTCCAGCTGCTTCTCTGTGCTTTTCTTCCTCGGCTCCATTCTGTTCATGCCATTCTGCAGCCTTGCTACTGAGCCTCGTTGATGAAGCCATGGCTCAATGGCAAGACTTCAGAGTCCTCACAGGACACCCCGGTTCCTTTCTCATCTCATTCTATGTGCCAGCCCAGCTGGCCATGTCTCTGAGCTGCTGCCTCTGCCCTCCTTGCCCTGCCTCTGCCTTCCTTCCAGTGCTACTGGTTCTGTACCATTGTTCGGAGTAGCACAGCCTTCCTCCATGACAGTTCAAGCCTGCCTCCCTTAAGAAGACTCCCCTAATGAGCCTCTTGTCGTCCTCCTTCCTGAGGCCGTCAGAGCCTCTCCCCCACACCTAGGGTCCCACACCTCTCCACAGGCACGGGGAGCATTCTGACTCCTGTCCTCGTGTGTCCCTGTCAGACAGCCTGGCCCTGGGGTTTCCCACGTCAGCATTCCCTAGTCCGTCCTCCCCCTGCCCCGTCTCCTTCCCTTGTGCCTGTGGGTAGCCACCGAATGCTTGCCACGTAAAGAAGCCTCTGCCTGTTCTGTCTCTGGGAAGACCTGGACCTCACTCAGCAACATTCCAGCGCTCAACTCCCCAGCCCCTCCCCATGCCACCCCTGAAGAAGTGTCTTCAAGCTAAATTCCCCGAAGGAAATTTATGTCCGTGTCCTCTTACGCACTCCTCCATGGGCACGCACAACAGCTGTTCACCATCTTTTGTGAAATCACTCGGAAATGGCTATGAAGTCACTCCCAGACTTCTCTACTTCAGGATATTTAATCCCCGCTCCCTTGACCTCCCTCTTTGATCATCACTCCTACTCTTTTCTAAATTCTTTCTAAATTCGCCATCTTCCCCTTAAGTTGAGGAAGGTTTAAGAACACCGTCTTCCTACAATGCCACAGCACAGTGACGCTCAGGCCAGAGTCAGCCTCCTGCTCAGGCTTTCCCTAGTGTCCCTTGAAGGACTGTGAGGGGAGCTTTTGGCCCCAGGGCTCCAGACACAGGAGGGTCCCTTTCTGGCTGGAAAAGAAACAAACGAGTGGGCTGCTTAGGAAGAAGCACCAGCGAGGGAGGGACAGGGAAGAAAACGGGCCCTGGCCTCTAAGTCAGGGCAGAGACGGAGAGGGCCTGCAGAGCCTCCCCAGCTGCTCACGCCCCAGGGCAGGAACTTGACCCCCACAAATGACCTGACCTCCGCCCTCTCTCCCCACCCTCTCTCTGGACAGACAAGGTGGGAATGGTCTGCATTCCTTCCAAGCAAGAGCAGACCTTCACTGAGCATCCTGTCCTCAGCGGAAAGTATAAAATCTATCTCACCTTCCAGTCTCACACTCTCCACTAGAAAACAACTTCAGGCCTCCTTGGACACTTATCTAAAGTGGCCCCTTCAGCCCCACTTTCCTCCTCCAGGCAGAGCAGTTATGCCAACTGAGGGCATTTCCAGCTGCCAACCAAGTAAATCAAGTCCAGGAAAGAATCCTGATCTCAATGTGAGGGGCTCTGAGAGCTGCTTCCTCTCATCCAGTCGCTCCCACACGCCCCTCCCCGCGTGTGTGCGCACACACTCACAGACAGACGCATGAGCGCGCACACACACACTTCCACACTCTCACAGCTTATAGAGGGGGCTTGGCCATTTGCACTGAGTTTGGCGCTGTTAAATGACAACAGAGAAGTAGTGGAGACAGGCCCAGGGATGACAGCACCTGACCTTTCATATGAGGCATGTCCTGCAGCCCCACTGAGTCTGGGAACCTGGACCAGCAGCCTGGGGGAGGAGGGGAGGGTGTCACCATCTCCCCCAGATTCACTTCTGTCCTCTCCCCTTTCCCGGCCTGATACCACAGGTGGATATCGTCTTGAAAATGAATCCAAAATACTTTTCCTGCTCAGTCCCTCTTTCCCTCTGTGTATTTTTTCTGTTTGAAGTAGCAGCGGTCACCTATTTCAGCCGCCTTTGCTCTTGCCCTGGCCAGAGGAGACAAAATGCATCAGTGACATGCTTCTTCCTGGGAAAGAGAAGGAAGGGGCCGGAGCAGTCAGCCCCTCCTCCCCAGCACCCCCCAGGGCTGCGGCTCCCGCCCTGTCCCCCTGTGCCAGGCCACGGCACAGCCCACCTAGTGAAGCCAGCATGGAGCCGTCAGCACCTGAATTAATGAATGCAGACTGCATCATCTTGCCACAACTTCTGTCACAATTCCAAAAGGAAGGGAGGGAGGGAATACTATACATAGAAAATGCAGCATATAAAATGTAAAATGAAAAAGATACACAGCTTAACAACTTGGGACTATTTTACTGGGAAAGGTGATTATTGTCTTAAAAATGAATAATTTTTATTGCATGAACAGTGAAATGTGTTTTCATTCATTCAAATATGAAACATCCATAGGGATCCTCTTTTATACCAAGAACTGTGTCAAGTGCTGGGTTAGGAAGTGAATAAAACAGGCGTGGACCCTGATCCCAGAGAGCTTCGATGCAGTGAGGAGACAGTCAAATTCAAGTAGCCAAACAAATCTCAGTCCCAAACTGTGATGGATGCTGTGGCCCAGAGGACGGGGACCATGGTGGATATGACGACACACACAACCTGGGAGAGGGCTCAGGAAAGGCCTCTGCGAGCAGAGATGCCGGGCATGAGCAGAAGTTGTCTAGAAATAGAAATGGGGGAGGAATTGCTTTAAACTTAAGGAAGACAGGAAGACACAACCTAAAGTCCTTTGATCCTAAATATACTGATTACTTAATACATTTAAGGAGAATTCAAATCAGCAGGGCATGAAACCAAAAGGATTTCAGCTGACTTTGGACCAGAAGTAACAAGTAATCATTATATTTCATATAACGCAGAATGTGGGCTTGCTGGAAAGCAGAGGCCGTGGAAACCTCGCATGTTCTGTGCATCTGAGCCTCTCTGTGCCCCAAGGGTGATTTGTATCGCTTTTGCTTGTCGTAGCTCATCACCATAAAGTTCGAATTTCATTTGGATGCACTAAGTGCTGTAATGTTCAGGTTTCACTTTGCTGCACCACTCTCAGGAAGCTGTCAAGCCTGGTGTGTCTTATGAACATGACCTGTCCTCCCAGAGTTGGCTCCCAGCCAAAGAATCCCTCTCACAGCAGTAAAGGCACCTATCATGGTCTTCCTCTGATTCTTAGATGTTATCCTGTGACCAAAGACAAGCTGTACTGCCTGTGACCTGGTGGGTCCCCTTCCATTACCTTAACCTGGGACAGCGGTGCTCTGTCTCCAGAGAATAGGCATTTCTCTGGAAGATCAATGCTGTGATGTGCCTGAATAGTGAGAGAGACCATTCTGTGTCCAGTGCTTTTAATCTTTTGCTTGTTGTCATTTTATTTTTAAAGGCTTGAGTTGTCCGTTGAAAGCATCTTCCGAGACTGGCTTGAGAGTTCCGGGATACCACAGGTGAGCTCCACATAACTGACTCTTCAGGGGAGGCAGTGGAGAAGGGAAGCCTGCCACTTATTGTATCAATCATGACAATGATTTACTTATATATTTATAAATATAAAAGTAATCATCTTTCTGAGTTGGGGTAGCCCTAAGTTAGGAGATGATGGTGTCCCGCCCCTTCTCAGCCTGCTGTCAGGCCTCTGCTTCAAGTGACCTGCTGTATGAGGACATGCTGCTCATCTCTGAACTGTGCGTAGATGAGCTCTTGCGAAGCGTGGTGTATATTTTGGGTGGCGTCACCAGGCCTCAGTTTGGTGCCGCCGGTGGGTTTGCAGCTGGCCTCCAGCTCTGTTCTTTGGCTGCAGCCAGACAGTGACCTGGCTGCCTGCAGCTTCCCTCTGACCTCTCGAGGTTTCTCCATCATTTGTTGGTGTGGCTGCCCCTCGACTTCTGCTTCCCTGCCTCAGGCTGGCGTCTCACCTGAATGAGCCGTCTAGATTCATTTCTGCCTTAAGGACCAGGACCTGTCCCTACTGGAGGTTTTGCTCTCTCCCTCCCTTTCAGCCCCTGGGCAGTTCTGAGGGAGAGACAGCCCCCAGCCAGCCTGGGAATCGCCTGGCCGGGAGCCTCCTCTCCCTCACGCTCCCCGGGCCTGTGCTTCCCGGAACCTAGAGGGCAGCCCTGACCTCTCAGCAGTGCGAGTGCTGTCCCTCGCTAGAGCCTGGGCCCTGGGAAGTTCCAGGATGGCATCCTGAATGGGGCTGCCCAAAGGACGCTGCAGCCCCGCCTCTAAGAGTGGACTCCCACGGTGGTGAGAAACCTCCCTGGACCCAGGCGCAGCCCGTTAGCCTGCTCGTTTCTGATTTCATGGCTGGTTATACGAGCTTCCCCTTGGGAGTGTCTAAATGTCAATGAATGTCTGTGAACCATGAAATTAAGGAACAGGAGGGGCTGTTCTCCATTACCTTTTCTTCCCTCTCCTCACATCTTTGTCCTGTTTTACCACACGGGACAATGTCGGCCACCAGCCACCATGAGCTCATTCCTAAGAAGGACGCGTTGCCTTCAGTTCAGGAATGTGTGTCACCTGTTCAAAGTTATTCATTTGGTCCAGTCTTTCTTGGGGGAAAAAAAAAAGAATAAAAGCCTGAGTCCTGAGAAGGCGAAACAGAGCAGGGGTAGGTAAGGCAGCAGCTGGTCCTGAGAGGCAGTGCTGTCAGCTCATGTGTCTTAGAATGAGCTCCTGTGATTTCTAAGATGGTGGCTCCCAAACCAGGGTGCATGCTGAGTACAAAACTCTCAGGGAACAAGGTTTAGGGTCTGTCTGAGCCCAAATAGCCAAGCCTTGCCCTTGTTTTAGATGGGGACGGAGGCATCCCCATCTGCCTCGTGCTCCTAGGACAGGCTGTTGCAAAGTTCCCGGACATTCTTAGGGTGGCCTGGAAGCTGGGAAGAGTTGGGAGCGCAGAGAACAGAATCCTGAATTTCCTGGCGCCAAAACAAACAACAGGGCCGCTGTGTTCAGCCATTAGCCCCAAGGGAAGAGAACAGAAAAAGTCCTTAATCAGTGCCCAGAAGCAGGCGCACCCCATTCAGGCTGTAGCACTGGGGCTGACCCCCTCATTCCCAGGAGGCTCGTAATTTCCCCTGAAGAGGCCCAGGCTTTGCCACCAGCAGGAGGCTTTGGCTTTTCGTTAACAGGGGGAGGGGTACGTGGAAGGGAGAGATTTGCCTCTGAGCCGTGTTTCTTCCAAAGGTCTACTTGCATTAGTGACAGCTTATAGTGTAGACAAGAATCTCTGCTATAAACTGACGAAGCCTGCTGTCAAAACAGAGCCAGGTGCAACGAGGCCAACCCTGCCATAAATTGTCTTTAAGACCCAACTGGTATTTCCTTGGGTGCTTAACTGTTCGGTAAAAACAACAGCCCCAGACAGAAAAGACCCTGATTTAGTGCATATCTTTCTATTGGTGAATGATCAGATGGCATCTTTTCATCCCCTTACCCATTTTCTGCTGTTATTTATATGGTCAATGATGATTTACCTGCTCGCAGCCTTTTCACGCTCCTTGAGAGTTCCTTCTCGTTTCCACTTCAGTGAAAGGCTCTGCGAGGGCCGGGACCCTCTGGTTGCAGGAGTCTGGCAGTGAATGGGACACCTTGTTCTTTGTCTCCATCATTATAATATAAAGTTACTAGTGTGCTTGGCCTGGAATGACAACTAGAGCACTGAAATCGCTCCGATGCTCTTTGTTCTTGTTAAAAATTTCTGTCCACCAGCAATTGAAGTCTTTCATGACAAAAGAGTCACGTTCTACTGGTGAAGTTTTCATTCCGCAGGTTACAGAGGCTTTTTGTCTTCTCTCAGGAAGGCTTGCCTTGTGGTTGGCCTCGATTTTCCTTTTTGGCCACATTGAATGGAAATCATTAAAAAAAAAATGTGGAAATAGCTTCAGCAGCAATAAAAGTAAGCATGAGCCCCAAAGAAGTAAAAGAAATGAGATCCAAACCTCTTTAAAGAACACCCAACCCTGTAACCTTTGGCCTTGCAAACAGATTTAAATTTGATTGTACCACCAGTATTATAGATCATTTCATGACTATTTTTCTGATGATATAAGTATTACATATAGTTTTTGGAATATGAAAACGTTTGTAATAAAATAAAAATGATCCAGAGATAATTTTTTAAATAAATCCTTTCAGTCATTTTTCTGTATGAATATATAGTTTACCCTTTTCTTTGTCTCCCTTTCTAAAAATAATAATAGTATGTTCTCTATAGCAAGTTCCAGCAATAGCAAAATATAAAACATCAAAGCCCTTGTCCCCTTCGATCTTACCCCCCAGAGATAATCCATGCCTGATAACAGTTTGGTGTCCTTCCCTCTACACATCTTCCGTGCTGTACAGCATGTAGGTGCATATTCTTTTAAAACAAAATTGGAATTTTTATTATCTAAACTTAAAGTCTTTGTTTAAAAATATATCTTAAGCAAGTGGTGCTGGGGAATCTGGACAGATAAATGCAAAAAAAAATGAAATTGGAACATTTTCTTACACCATGTACAACAATAAACTCAAAATGGATTAAAGATTTAAATGTAAGACCTGAAACCATACAACTCCTAGAAGAAAATATAGGCAGTAAACTCTGGCATTGCTCTTAGCAATATCTTATTGGATATATATCTCTTTAGGCAAGGGCAACAAAAGAAAAATTAAACAAATGGCACTACGTCAAACTAAAAGAGTTTTTCAACAGCAAAGAAACCATCAACAAAACAAAAATACAACTTACTGAATGGGAGAAGATATTCGCCAATGATATAGCCACTAAGGGGTTAATATCTAAAATATATAAGGAATTCATATAGCGGAGAGGACCTGAATAGACACTTCTCCAAAGAGGACATACAGATGGCCAATAGACAGATGAAAAGATGCTCAATGTCAGGAATCATCAGGGAAATGCAAATTAAAACCACAATGAGAATATCACCTCCCACCTGTCATTAATAAATCAACAAATGACAAGTGTTCCCAAGGATGTGGAGAAAAGGGAACCCTCATGCACTGTTGGTGGGGTTGTAAATTAGTACAGCCACTATGGAAAATAGTATGGAGGTTCCTCAAAAAATTAAAAATAAAGCTTCCATATGATCCAGCAATTCTTCTGGATATTTATCCCAAGAAAACATAAACTATTTTCAAAGATACCTACATGTTCATGCAGCATTATTTATAATAGCCAAGATATGGAAGCAACCTAAGTATGCATCAATAGATCAATGGGTAAAGAAGATTTGGTACATATATACAATGGAATATTACTGAGCCATAAAAAAGAATGAAATCTTACCATTTGCAACAACATGGATGGACCTAGAGTATATTATGCAAAGTGAAATAAGTCAGTCTGAGAAAGACAAATACCATTATTTCATTCATATGCAAAATCTAAAACAATTAAACAAATGAATAAACAAAACAGAACAGAAACAGACTCATAGATATAGAGAACAAGCTGATGGTTGCCAAAGGGGGGAGAGGTTGTGAGGGGATGGGAATAAAAAAAATAGTCCACGGTTTACTTTTTTTTTTACCAGCTGTGTTACCTCCAGCAAATTAAAACAAAAATAAACAAAAACAACAAAAAAACACAACTAGTAGACTTTTAAAAATCACAAAAAAATAATGAATTCCCTATACTTGTGTTGTCATAATTATTTTACCAAAAAACATGAATTGTATTCCATTGTGCTCTAAATTACGATGGTTTTTGTATTTGCCTGGTTACCCAAAATGCTAACTAGATGAAGAATGAACATTATCTGTAGCACCTTGCCAATTTTAGAAGTGGGCAATTATAAATCACTATATTTAGTCTGTATGAAACGAGAGGAATCTTACATTTAATATTCTGTAGTAAATACTCACCCACGAAGGCATACACTAAAAGAACATTAGGAGGTTGAACATTCACTGTGCTGCATGGGGCTTCGCTGTGTGACTTCCACTGTGGTCAATGGGTGTTTGCTAACCAGGTCCCTGAGTTTCACTGACCCTGGTATGTGCTCCTGAGGGCCAGACAAAACCGAAACCATTCAGGAACTTCTTAAGATTTCAGAGTTAGAGCTCGTCTTCAAAAAATAAATGAAAGCAAAACACAAAGTTAAAAAAAAAAAAAGGCAGTTTCCCTTATCCCTTGAAATAATTCAAGGACAATAATTTTTAGCAGCAATATTTTTTACCAGCTGTATTTTAAAACATAGCTTTCTAATGAATAGTACCATAACACCATAATTTGATTTACTCAGACCTGACTCCTGCCACTGTTGGAATAGTAAACATTATTTCTAAGAAAGTTGCCCATTCTGCTAATTTGACAGTTCTATAAATAGATTTTTATTTCTTTTCATCTCTACCCAAAGGTCTCTACCACCCCAGCCCATATGTACATATATTCCAATCTTCTTTTAAAACTTTTATATGCAAATACATTAGAAAT